AGCACGGGCTATGGCTGCTCCTATCCCTTTCGATGCTCCAGTTACCAAGGCAACGCGTCCTGTCCACCGATCCATATCTTAAACATACATCATACTGCAATCAATTTAATCCAAATACCCATCAACCCACGAAAAGAGGGGGGAGACACGGAGTATGAGGGAGGTCACAATACTTATGACACACACACACACACAGAGAGAGAGAGAGAGAGAGAGAGAGGAGAGAGAGAGAGAGAACCACACCTCATACATATGCACACACTAGTGAACTTATTGGTTCTACATTTCTTTTTTCGTATCTGCAATAAACAGGGTGTGTTATTACTGAAATAGAATCATATCGCCAGGACCATGGGTCACCAAAATACCTTTAAACTGTGTAGAAGGCGACTTCCGGTGCACTGGAGTCTTTGCCGCAGCGTGTTTACCTTTACTATTATGATATCTGGGTCAACACCTGTAGCATTTCTCATTGGGTAAAAAGCGTAACGGCTTCTACAGAACGGTCATATATAAAAATAGACCAGAGATTACAATTGCGGTATGTGTCCCTGATGTGGATGTGCTTGCTGTGATAACATTTTTTAAGAAGACCTTAATACAGTATCCTACTTATATTCCGCAAGAGTACCGTTTTAATAAAATCATGGATATCAAAATATCCTAATTGTTTGTCTGAAAGTATATTGAACTATTAGATTTAATATTTATCCTTTTTGTATGCCATTTAGCATGCGATATGTACCCTTAGATACAGATGCTGTCATCAGGATGCAGACAGAGGGGAGAGAGAGAGGGAGAGAGAGAGAGAGAGAGAGAGGTAAGAGTTATGTGAAAAAACATGTTTGTGCACGATTACTTCATCATTGCCATACGTTGTGTATGTAATAAAAGTTCAAAACTTATTTTTGTTCTTCATTTTTAGCGCACCCTGTTCTTTACTCCCGTTTTTTTCTGTTCTATATTTAAAGGTATACTGTGATGAAAAAACGGGTTAAAACTATCCATTAGGTGCCCAAAAGTCATTTTTGAGTAATGAAAAAAAGTTCTTACGTTTATTGAGTTTTTAAAGCCGATTTTATGCAGGTGTGAATTTAGTTTATGATACTCCCGCGTGGGGGCGCTTTGAGGCGAGTGACGTCACTTGCGTCGAGGCTCAGAAAGCCATATTCGATTCAGCTATCCGCTTGCTAGCAGTGCAAACTAAAAGCGATACATGCAATTGATTACTACATGATCATTTATAAATTCAAACTTTTGAAGATAGATACACAAAAGAAGATGAATTCCCTACGTGGTTATCATTTATTTACCAACAAAATACACCAAAACTATGTTAACAGTAAAGGTTTGGAAGCAGGGCAGCGAACATAGTTTTTCACACATGCCCATCTGTCGCGTCGGCTGAACGTTCTTATCCCGACTGATAAGAGAAAGTTACCTTATAATGCAGGTGTTACAGCTCACATTATTTTTCACACCCGTGCAGTTTACCAGTGTCATTCCGGGAGAGCCAGGTCAGTTGACAAAAGGCCAAAGATATCGGACTGATAGCAGCGGACACTGCATTTCACACCTCTGCAACTTACAGGGTACCTCGCTACTTCCGCCTTACACGTGATCAGTGCAGCAGTATGTCGAGTAAAAATTTGAGTCCACTATCATGTTAATATTAAAGTTTTCACTAACATAACCAAAAAATTCGACAACGTAATTCTGATACGAACTTTTTTTGGGCTCTAGAAGCTGCTCTCTTCATCTTTCGACGGCCGCATCATGCACACATCCTACAGGTAAGACTCTCGTCGGCAGCGCTCTGGCATTTACTGTCGCATTTTGGTACTCCGAAAAATCGATTATACTGGGTACAGCATCATCTTTTAGTTTTTTCCGTGCTTTTTCCACCGCACAATTCAGCTCGCAGGTCACGTACGAACACCCTGAGCTTCAGAGCTGACTTGACACTAACCTTTTCACTGTAGCCTATCTCCATCGTGTCAAGTAACCTCTGACGAAAATAGTTTGACCTAGTTTATATAAGCCAATCGAATCCATGTTTCAAAATTTTTCACCAAAGTTTGGTGAAAACGCTGATTGGTTGATCGTCAATCGGCAATCCTCGGCTGATTCCGCAAGCTNCTGGGATTTTTTAACTTCAGAGAATTGAGCCAAATTTTACGTTTTGCGGCATCCGCAGGCAGGACATAATAGCAGATGTCTTTCTTATCGTAACCTACATTACGGCACCCGGGAGCAACACAACTTTGCGGCATTTTGTTTTTCTGACACCTGGATGTTTAGTCACCTACTGCATAGTAGGCCTATAGGCCTATACTATTACTAGTACAGCTGTGGGAAGCTACTCCCCGGGATACGTCACTAGAAACTGACCAATCAGAATTTTTTCATCTAAATCTCATCTTTTCTCTCTAAAACTTAAAAAGAACAATTTTTTGACGTCGATTTATAGTTTTTATACTGTAAAAAAAGCAGTGAACGCTCTGTGCTCCTAGACCACAGTAGGCCTTTAAGGTTTCAATTAATGCTTGGAACTCAGTTGATCTCTGACCAATGTTTGATGTTATAAAAAGACGAGAAAAGTAAACCTTTCCCCAAGGGTGCACAGACACAACGGCTTACAACACACTCCCCCCCCCCCCCCCCCCCCCCCCAAAAAAAAAATGTTAATGTCTGCCAAGGTTTCTCTTAAGATCTCATTAGTGGAAAAATCACTAGTGGAAAATGGGAGCTTGAAACAGTGTACACACTGGGAGCGTTTATTGTCAATGTAACCGCGTACTACGTGTATTTTTTAATAATAATAATTATTATTATTTACTGTAAAAAATACATTAAATATGAAAAATTAAGAAAATATTCCACCAACCACAGTTAGAAGATTGACTATATTTAGCCAGAGACATTATCTGTAAATATCTAGTGAAAAATCGACCTGTGGCCTTGGTGGAGGGTAATTTAGAGGTGAGATAGGGCCTGTTCAGAACCAGTTGACCCACTTGAAAGCATGTCGAGATTTAACTGCTCTGCAGATACAGCGCACGTGGGAGGAGGCGATCAAGTTAGTCCGCGGATCAACTAATTCTGAACATGCCCATAGCAATCGGTATCGGAAGTGACCTCTTATTTGAACGTGATTTTATCACGAAACTTGACGTGGGTGTCAGCAATCCCATGTCATCACAATGTGGTTTAAATGTTTTGTGATGGGACTTGTGGGCGTCATAGAACGTGTTTTTTATCCAACCGTGGCAAGATATTGCCTTATTATACAACATTGTCCCAACCCCAGTTTCACGTGCTTTTATTTATAAATGATCACATCACAGAGTTAATTGCTATGAATGGTGATTTTCATTCCAGATACAATAACTAACATGATGAGTGGTACAGAAAATACAAACTAGCGGTGAATATATCCATATTTAATACCATTTATTCACATTTATTACATCACTGTCATTACCACAGAGGTAAAAAAAAAATGCCCTTTAAATTGAAAAGATACCACCAAATGTCACCAAATTTACACACGTTTAGCATTAGGGTGTGCTCGTTAAAGGTCACGAGTCACTAATCATGTTAGTTATGGTTTCTGGAATGAAATCACTATTTATAACAACTTTCACCTGTGATGTAACCATTTATAAATAAAAGCACATGACACTGGAGGTGGGACAACCTTTTTGACCAATGTTGTATAAAATCTTAACTTCGCTGGCATAGTTGAAATACTCAATTATATGATTAAATTATGTTTAGACAGTATTTGTAGGTGCTGAGCTAAAGTAAATTAATCTTTATGATTCCTTAATTCATGTTAATAAAACCCTCAGATAAATGAACATGTTAAAAAGTTAAATTTCCGTCTATAGAACTTTAATTTGGTACTAATGGACCTTCGGACCAGGTAGGCCTACACTTCCAATTTTCGGACTATCGAATCTAGGAATAACAAAGCCTTTATACTAATTCTGATAAAATTTTTTAAAAATTCGGACCAGTGAACCTTCAACATCGAGAAGCGTACAATTTTTCACTGGATATTCAATGTTATGGCGATATGTGACTCGGATGTGTTCGGTTCATTATACAATCAAGGTGACAGCCGGGGCTCCTAACCACGTGACTCATTTGCCATATATATATATATATATATATATATATATATATATATATATATATATATAAGCCAGTGATAAGCTAAGACAGATTACGTAACGAGCGTTTAGTACCAAGGCACTACGCGATGTTGTTGGCTGCACGAGGCAAAAGCGTTTGCTTGTGGACAAATCATCTGGCTAGAAGCCATAGACATGATAGAGGGCCAGCGAGAATTTTTACATAGAATTTTTGCCATTACTCAGCTGGTCTCTAGTATAGAGTAAAATTGCTCTGTGGTAACAATATTGCATGTTTAAGTTACACTGTATAGAAATAATATGTAAAAATATGTATGTCTTTGTTACTATAGTGCAAAGATGCTCTAGGTAAATTTGAAAGTTTCGCCTCAGATGGTAATGATATGAACTGCGCAGCAAATAAAAAAAAAAGATTCAAAGCCTGGTCCCTCTGAGTTTCCTGAGAACACATTCACTGGAAACTTACCTCTTAACTATCCGCATGAAGCTTCCAGTATACGCAAGTATGAGTTTCCAATGCCCATCGGCGCACTGATGCGTAAATACCTTTTACTTTGATATTAATGGTAACGTTTTTTATAAATTTAATGAATTTATGGGCCAGGAATCTGTTAGGCTTTCAGAAAGAGAAAGAAAAGAGAATAAATAATGTTGTGCCCTTGGAGAAATTCGCCCCTATACGTTAAATGACTGTTAAATAAAAAATTGTAGTACCAACGTTCTATTCAGTGGCATGATTTTAAGCAAAAGTTAATATCCCTTGTATTCACCCAATAAACTGTTTAAACACCAACCCTAACACTGGCTTGTTGCCTCATTCCTTCCTATCATTTCTTCACCTCAGAGATCCGTGCTTTCATCTACAGCACCGCTCTTCGAGTTACCGTCGCCTAACTCGGCCTCTTTTGTAGTACTTCCGAAATCGACGTCCTTGCGTTCTTGCTCTTTAAAAACTTCCTCTATCTTAACGCTATCTTCGCCTGACTTGATCACCTCGGCTTCTCTTGCCTTTTCGTCAGTAAGACTACTCACTGCGTTTTCCTCCCCCAGATCTGTCTCCTGGAGTGCTTTACTCTCCGTCGTTTCAACGCCCTGAAGCAGCAGCGCGCCAGCTTTCGTAACCAAGAAAAAGAAGACGGCACCAAATATGATGATTCCAACAGCTATGAGGATAAGTTCCAGAGTGAGAGGACGCACGATGGCGAAGGCGGCCACCAAGGCCACCGTGTCAAGGACGTAGATGAGCGCCGCGAGGACCAAGCGGTGGAAATGGCTGCCTATCACGGAGCCCAGGGGAGCACCGAAGATGACCACGGGGACGCAGACGGCAACGTACTGCCAGCAGTCTATAGCAACACCGCGTATGATGACGCTCCTCCAAAACAGGCCCGCCACTGTATTTCCCGCCATCAGCACGATGGAAGTGGGCGTGGCAGTCTTCTCGCTGACGCGGAACAGGAGGGTGAGGATACTGAAGCTGCAGATATCCAGCCCGCTTCCTGCAAAGGATGTGAAAATGCCGCCCGCGAAGCCAGTGAGAACCAATACCAATGCTTTCCACAAGTTGAATATCGGGATTTTAGGAAAGGTGCGTCGTTTGTGGTTGATGTTCAGTGAAAAAAGAGCGAAGGCAAACGTGAACCAGATGCAAACGAAACTGATTTTCTTCTGGGCCGGCGTCAAATACGGATCGACGAACTCCAGCCCAATGATAATGCCCGCAACACCGCCGACAGAGGAGAGAAGTATGGCGTGCCATTCCAGGTGAATCTTCATGTAGATGATGGTGAAGGCGGCCGCCGTCATCCCGACGGACTGGATGGCCAATGAGAAGTCCCTGGCAACGGCTGGGGAGATACTGAACGCAAGAGTCATTACGGGAAACGCAAC